TATATATATATATTCTAGGATTTCCTCTTTTTTACTTTCTGACTACTCTCATCCCTGAATGTGCTAACTTGTGTGTGTAACTAAGGTTTGATAAATGATGAGGGAAAAGCAAATAAATTTAATAATTCTCAAGATTGGATTATTATGCTAAATTAGTAAATTTAACAATAGTAGATGCAACTTGTACATTATTTCTTTGCACTGCTGAAGCACAAGGAAGTATACCCTACCAAGTAGAAGAAAAGAAGAGGGTTTGCATCTGAAATTGATGTTCATTAAAAATTTGTGATAATTGAGTTTAAATTGCATAGATATACGTAAACTGTCAAAAGAAAATTGTAAAAGCTAGGAATCTAGAAAAACAGAGCGTGTTTGATATAAAGAGCCACAACTGAGGGGACTATTGTGTAATGAGTTTTTAGTTGGCTGTGAGGTTCAGAATCTTTTACGTTTATGGGTTTGGACCACCGCACTACATAATCTAAACAAAATTTTAGTTTAATTAAAAATATTATATTTGAAAGGAATCATATAAGCTTAAAACAGTGGATTTCAAATTCTTTATTGGTTTAGTAGTTTACATGCTTAGTGTGTCTTATGAATCTTAGAAATTTAGTATAAGCCTAAATTTCCATTGTACACCTGAATCTTTAAACAGAGCAATATTGTTTTGACAGCTGAAACTTTTTAATTTGCAGAAACACAATTATCAAAGTGTTTTGAATTTATAGTACGTAAAGCAGAGGGAAAATTATAGAAAAAAAAGTTGAGCAGTAATTTTGTATTTTAGGGCAGTTGTTATGAAGAGGCTTGTGATAAGAAATTTTGTATGCCTGTTTCAAAGGTATTTTTGTTTAGTTTTTTAGAAAAAAACTATGCAACAGTTAAGAAATAACATATTTTATTTCTTAAACATTTTAGAACACAACAACATTTTTTATATATCTAATTCCGTTGCCAAAACAAATTCAAAACTGAAACTTATAATTTTTCAAAACACATTCAAATAAATTATTTAAATTTTATGTCTCTACAATTCTAATGACCACATTGTATCTGATTGGGGCATCCAGCGTGAAAATAATTTGATTTGTGTGGTGTGTCTGTAAATATTGATAAAGGTTTTTGTGCTATAAAAAGGCATTCTGAATCGGAAAAACATAAGTCAATTCTTGCAGCGGTAAAAAAAACTCCAACCAACTTTCATTATCTGCTCATACTTCATTATTAAGTATGCTGAGCATTAAAGATCAAGCTTATAAAGCTAAAATAATTTGGTGCGTGAAAATGATCGCTTCTAATTTCTCACTTTCTACCTGCAAAGACATAGATAAAGTGGTTAATTCTATGTTTCCTTCCTCAACTATGGAACACTTTTCCCTTAATCCAATTAAAGCAACATACCTTATCACTGATGCGTTAGCTCCCTATATCAGAAATGAATTTTTAAATGAGATTAAAAATTCCTTCAAGTTTTTTTTTCAAAGAAGCCTAGACAATAACTTCATATCTTCAATAAGTTTATAATCTTTCAAAGAATATTACAATATATATATGCGTGTAATTTCATCAAGTTTAATGATCATAAATTTTGTTCTTATCTAATTATATTTGTATATTACTAAAAAAAAATACTTAAAAATAAAAATATGTTAATTACTTACTTAAGACATACTTTGTAGTATTTTATCTAACATACTGGCTGAAAATATATATTTATAATAATTAAAAAATGATTGAGTGCATTTTATTTTTATTATTATAGATTAGTATAAGGATTATAAAATTTTTTTATTTGTTCAATGTGGATCAACTCAGCTTTTATAAACTTTGGACCCCATTTCAACAAATGGGCCCCCATTTCCACAAAAATGGTACTCATTTTTCCCAATTTTTTGCCCTAAAAGTGTTGAGAGCCCTGCATTTTATTTCTCTTGTTAATTTCATCGTTAGTGAAACCCCATCGTCTTCCTCACTAGCAAGCTAATGGCATGCTCGCACTCTTCTATATATAGATTGTGACATTTAGCCTTTAGCTTAACTTGGGGATCATCTACTAATTACATATTTTCTTGTGTGTCTCCAGAGCAGTAAAGAATCACAAAGCTTTATCTCCTAAAAATTCCATCTCCTTTTTAGTAATTTAATTTAATAAAGATAAGAATTAATTTAAATTTTTAATCATAAGAATATTTACTAAAGAGACAGTTCACCAATTGCTTAAAATTTTTGTTAACTTTTATTGTACTTTATTACTTTTTTTTACCTATTATACTATTTTTTATTACTTTTAAAATTTTCAGTACTACTAAGTTGTTTTATAAAAAAAACTCAATATTTAAAGGCAAGATTTTAAAAAAGTATGAAGTGAGGGGCTTTCACTTTTTTTTAAATCAGCAAGGTATCATTTTGTCATTCTGAAAATCTTTAATTCATTTCTTAATGTTTTGATTTAAAAACAATTGGAATAACAAATTCAATTATAATTATTTCAGGTTTGTTAAATATTATGAGTGAGGGGCCATTTAATAATTTACTTTTGACAAAAATATTTTTCTTTAATATTCATTGTATTTGCATATCAAAATTATTTTTAATAATTTCATTAAAGAAATACTGGATCATGTAACAGATTTTAATAATAATTTATTAGGGGCCATTCGTTAATTTACGTTTGTAATATAAATTTTATTTAATTCTAATGTGAATTTTATTTTATAACAGTCGTTGAACAGCCGACCCAATTTTTTGATTTACAACCACTAATGTTCAACTTCAAAGCCGTGTAATTTTAAACCTGATCCAAAAGTCAAGGGAACTCCTGGATCAAGTATTGGGAGAAATTTGCTTTCATCAAGGACTTTTTGATGGAACTAACTCGCATTTGCTTTACATGGAGAGGAAGACTGCAAGAACCTCTCACGGTTAGCCTGACGGCAAAGGGACTCTATTCCATGATCCTTCTACCACTGAGGATAGCTCACGTCAGCACTGTGGTCAGTTCAAGCCGGATGCAGATTCGTATCTACCAGCCATTGCTGGTATTCGAACCTGATCCCCTCATTGGAAGGCAAACGCTCTATCCCCTTAGTTAGCCATCGTGGCTCTTTAATATGATTTGTAATATTTTCTGAATTTGTAATATGAATTTTTATTATGAGTTTTCTTAATTCTGTACTTATCTTTATAAATTCAGCATGATCAATAATATTAATCTTGTTTTGTTGCATATGTTTTTATAAATAACTTTTATTTAGACCTAAAAAATACACTCAATAACCTCTTTAAATTACAGTTAAATTAATTATAATTTAAATTAATTTCTTTTACATAATTAAATAGAGTAATTATTAGCTAAATAGAATGAGCCACTCAATATGGAATGTTTTTAAATTTTTGCATAAATTGTTTTTATGGTGGCTAATATAATCAAGAAAAGAGTTATTTGTTAGAAACTAGTTGTTTTATCATGATAATTTAAAGTCTTTGAAAATTATTTTGCATTTTGTATATATATATGTAAAAACTTTCCACAGTAGGATGAAAATTTTTTATTAATGTACATATCCTAATCATATTTTTGTAAAGTGCTTGAAAATATTTTCTTGCCTGAAAAATGCTTATTTTTTGTTAAATTATTTGACTATGCACCCTGTGAAGAGTTATTATATTCTTCATCTCTATAATTAATTATTTAATTTTGTTTTTCAATTAAAAGGATTTAAAATTCATATTTCTGCTGTTAAGTAAGGAAAAAGCTCAGTACCACTTGCTTTTAGTCAATATTTTTGGAAAATATGTATTATTTCCTCCAAAAAAAAGTATTTTCTTAATATTTTTTAATCAAAATGTGTCAATCAAAATATCAGCTCTCTTAGATTACTCTGAAATAGATTGATTTCTGAAATTACTTTTAATTTGCTAAGTCAATAAACAGAGTGTATCAAATAAAAAAAAATGTAAAAGTTTGATTTAAAAGAAGCAGAATAAAAAATAGAAGAAAGGAGTTTTTAATTCATCTTATTGTCTATAGATGTCAAATTATATATACCATAATCACACCAAAACCAGTGCCAAATATGAGATATTTAATAATACAGATAGATATAATGGTAAATTAATAACCTTTCATTGACATTAAATTATTTTCTACTTTAAAAGTTTTAACATATTTCAAATATTTATTATCAGCATACTACTTTCATATTAGATTATCTCATTGTTTGAGATGAAGGAGAAAACCAAATGATGCATAAAATTTGTGATCCACGATAAAAATTTTCAGAAAAAGTGAAAAACTAGTCATCGTATGTCGTCCTTGGGAAGTCGTGAAATTTATTGACAGGAGTTTCCCCAATAGTGGGGCATTTGCATCTTATGCACAGAAATTGTCTACACACAGTTCTGCTTATCATTATACTAAATTATATAAACTAATACTTATATTTGAGATTATTAGCATAACTAAATAAAAATGCTCACTGCATAAGAGTGACTTGTTTTGAAGATGTTGAGTTAAAAATAAAATTGTATTCAAAATAACTTTGATATTTATATTGTTTTATTATGATTGGCTCTTGTGTGACACCACTATTTTCAATATGTATTTGTAGGTTAAACCTGACCTTATCATTAGTGCTGATACTGTTGTATATTTTGCTGGTGAAGTTTTTCCTAAACCCAGATTTAAGGAAAAAGCTGTTGGTATATTAGAAAAGTAAGTGTTTGTTTCTCAAGCATTTATCAGCTTGGAATTATGGAAGACTTTTAATTCCTTGTGTTTTTAAAATAGTAAATAGTGTAAAACAAATGCTTTAGTGTTTTAATACAGTGCAAAATAAAAAAAAAAATGAATACTTTAATAATTTCTGATCTAGTGAGTGAATTAAAATACAATCTTAATGATTCAAAGAACAAACCTTCAATACACAAGATATTTTAAGTAACAAAATCAGTCACGAAAACAATACTTTTCTAAAATCTTTTGAAAGGGTCTAGTTTCTTGACTTTCAAAGTATGGGGGTAAGAATTGCCAGAAACTGAAAATTGAGGTCCAATTGGTTTAGGCAGGAAAACAGTCAAAAAGTTTGACATCATAATGGTAATTTCCCTTATTGCATATTTTGCCAGATTTCTGGAAATATTATCGATTATCAAATAATTTTAGCACATATTCATAAATCTTATTTATCCAGTGATAATTCTATGTAAAAATTGCATTGTAATTATTTTTTTTATTTTAATAATAGTAAAGGCATTTTAGAATTATATGCTATAAAGATTTTTACATCATTTTTAACAATGTTATTTGACGTGATTAAATCCAAAATTAAAACAAAACCAGTCAAATAAATTTTTTTTATTCTGTTCTGCATGAAAAAAGTGAAATTGCATAAAGGATCTCAAACTTTTCTGCCTAAACTGTTAGAACCATACTTTCCAGATTACGGTTGCTTTAATATTTTTAGGAGCAAAAATCAATAACTGCCGGGGGGGAAAAGTATGTTTATTCAAATAAAAAAACTTTTTTTTTCCGATTTTGTTTCTTAAAATAATTTTTGCCCAAATTAATTAGTATAATTTTAGCTTGAACCATTACAATTGCATCTTTGTACATGACAATCTGACCACTAGATCAAAAGTTATTATTTTATTCTATTACATTGAATTTTTGTAAAAAACTTTCATTCAGGGATCTCTGGCGTTTTCACCCCGTCATTAGTATTTTTCTCATTCTTATTATTATAGAATAAATATTTACCTCATGCAGGGTTGGCAGGTTTTTGACATGTGACAGTTTTTGACAGTTTAAACCATGGTTTAAACCGTCACGTCAAAAACCTCACTGTCAAAAATGTCGAAAATGTCAAAAACCTATATTCATATGTGAAATTTAATTAATACATAAAATTTATATATTTTTTATAAAGGATAGTGTTTCTAAATATGTTCTAGAAAAAATAAATTTAAAATTTTGAAGAAACACTTATATTTTGAATAGTAACCAAAATCTTGTACTTTTGAAAGCTCACATCTTTTGTAATATTATGTATTCATTTTCATGTGTTATTGAAAATCTGCAGTGATATTATTAAGAAATTTATTTATAACCAAATTTAGTGTATAGTATAGATTATACTAAAAATTAGACATTTTTAAAGATAAACATTAGCAGTTTTGTACATTAGACATCTTTTAAAGAAAAATCTTTTTAATATTCTTTTAAATCTTCTTAATAATCTTTTTAACATAAGACAATACAAATTTAAGTGCTTTCTGTTAAATACACAGAGTAGTTAGTGTCGATTTACAGTATATTCAGCCTATTCATTTACTATGCTGAAAATTTAGTTTATCCAAATACTTGTGAATTTCATTTTGCTGAATACTATATAGTTTTGTTGAATATCTAAATATTCAGCTGTTGAATAATTACTTCTTGCTTTCAAGATATGCATTATTTGTATTCTTAATACAAGTGGAGAAAAAAAAATTAAGAGATAAAAATTGTTTTAAAATGATAAGTGTAATAATTATAAATAAATATAATAAACAATATGAATTATATTTATCATTATTCATAAATATAACTACTTTTAAATTCAAATTAACATACTGGATAATAAAGATATTCGGTATAACATTAAAAAAAATTTTTTATACACTTGTATCTTGTATCAAGTTTGTATTTATACAACATAACTTGTAAGTTCCTTATAAATATTAGTTATATGTTCCTTATATGTCAAAAATGCATAGTAATAAACTTTTAATTTTCTTAAGTATCAAAAAGAAAAAAAAAATTTTTTTAAATATAAATATTTAAACAATTTTTGTGCAAAATTTTTCTGCACATGCATTTGAATATAAATTTCTGAGATTTTAAATCTGTTATTTTACCTTAATTTTAATTAAAAAATATTTTAAAACCTGCTGATTACCTATAGTATAATTAAATTTCAATATAATGCATGGCAACTGTTGGTAGTTTTGAAGTTTATATATTTTCTTGGCAAACTTCAGTTTTTGACATTTTTGACGGGTTTTTGACGGTTTAAACCAGTATTATACCCTTGTCATGTCAAAAACCACTTTTTGACGTCAAAAACCCAACCCTGACCTCATGCCAGCCAAGCAGTTATATACATATTTTTTACTTTGCTAAATGTTGGTGCTTATATTATTTCCAATTCTGAATTTCTTTTTCTGACTTGCATGATGTATCAAAACTTCACTCATAGCCAAAAGTTAGTGTCGCTAGTAAAATCTCCATTATTTTATTTCTCCAATGTTGGCAGGTATGCTATTAGATGGAAAATAGGCAGCATGATAGATTGTGATCACCAAAAGTAAAGGTGCAATCTTTTGAAGTAAGCAGCAGAATTTCAAAAAACAGCAGAGGTATTTTTGCTTTAAGAATCAAGCCAACTTAGCTGGTGGTTGCTGAAGTATGTTTGCAAAATAAACATTTTGAGTTCAGATTGTAGGAACAAAACAAAATGCTTGCTTTTCACTTTTCTATATTGATACCAGAAATTTAAAAAAGTTCTTTCGTTCATCTTTTTTTTTTTTTTTTTTTTTTTTTTTTTTTTTTTTTTTTTTTTTTTTTAGTAATATAAACATGAAACATTAACTTAAGCATGAAAAAATTTGCTGCAATAGCGGTAGGCAAGTAATTTTTAACTTGTTACAAACATAAAAGTTTTTTTGCATTTAATATTAGCATTTTGCACAGGATCTCATAATATGCTGCAGTTGTTATATTGCAGGAGTCATAATAATGCTCTATAACAGAAAAAAAAGGACAAATCTGGACAAAATATTTTTATTAAGAATACAAATAAATTCTCGACCCTAGCACTTGTTCTAGAAATGATCATATATTGTCCTGCAATGTTTAGTACTATTTTAACTATGTTCTGAACTCTTATTTCCATACTGCCTTAATGAATGCTTTTAAGATGTTTTCAGACATAGCAGAATAATAAATTTTTCTGAAGCTGAAGAAAAAGTTTTTTATAGATAGTAAAAACCATGGGAAAAACAGGTTTTTAACATGTTGGGTCAAAACCATGGTAAATACTGTGCCAACCCTGATTATTAAACCCGTATTAAAATCAAAAGTCAGTTAAAAATCATATAAAAGCGTAAATAGAGAAAAAGCAGAGGATTCTCATTGCTGCATACTTTTTTGTAATGTGGTGCAGGTGTTGAAAATAAAACTTTTTTTTGAAAATAGGGAAAAGAGTTTTGTTTGTTGAAAAGTGTCCAGTAAAGAGACCCTTCTAGTAAACAGATGTCCTGATATGGGATTTAGTACCAAACTCAAATAAGTTTTTAGGAATAAAGTTTAAAATTTTACTAAAAAACAGGGAAAATTCAACTATAAAGCACTTTTTTCACTATATATTTTTAAGATATTACAATAGCTAAAATGAAATTTAATAAAAATAAGGGGGTAAGTAATATCTGTAAAATATATTTATGTAATATAAGGATGAAGGTTCAAAAATTATCTTTAAATTCAGAAATCTAAATTAATCCAATCATTAAAGACATCCCATTCAAATGTTATAAACAAATCACAGTCCATTAGCAAAATCCATTAGAAAGCGCAAGTTTACAGGTATTCTCTAAGTACCGAAACATGTCATCACAATAAGTCAATTTTTATATTGCTTGCTCATTTGATGGGTGCGGGTTTAGATCCGATGAGCATTTGTTATTTAGGTAGCTTAGTGAATATGATATGAAAATATTCAGCATAACCTGTTATTTTTAACCTCTTCCTTCTGCTTTGATTTTCTGATGACTTGGAAAGACATAGTCCAATGTATAGTATCTAACAAACACATCGTTTTTCTCCATTTACCCAGAAAAAAAGTTAAGAGAAACAAGCCAAAAGAAAATTAGCATTGTCTCAATTTATTTTAATTTCAACAATTGGTTCCATTTGTAGTATGAGACTTCATTGGTTAATACTTTTAACTACGTGGCTCTGATGCACAATCTATGGCATGTGAACTTCTGTTTTCTAGCTAAACATTTTCAATACAGTCTAACCCCTCTATAGTCACCCTTCAAGGGACAACCTTCACTATATCTGGGAGTTTACTATAAACCATGTTTGACTGTAAGTCCTTGATCAATCTTTAATATTAAGATGGTAATGACACAAAAATAGTGTTTAATTATTTGTTTGTAACTCATAAACTAACCAATTTTTAAGTCTTGTTTGAATAAAGTTTAAACATTGATCTTTTGAATATTTCCACGAGAAGATCTTATGAGACAGTTGTTGACTGTTTCGTATAATAATACATCGATATAAGATTTGAACTTATGTATATGCATTACATTTAGGCTCAGTGGACAAACTCACAAGGTTGTTACTGGCGTTGCTCTTGTTATTGTTGATTACTCTAAAGGTAATATTTTCAATTGCAGAATATTTTATCTTTCACCTTTTCAATGAAAATTTGTTTAAATAATTTCTTTTACAGTTAACTTTTAAAATTAAGAGAATTTCTATTCTGAGTATTTTTGCCATGTCCATGAAGGTTATAATTAAGAAAAAAGATAGAGAAGGCTGAGATGATATTAAAAGTGATTGCAGCAGCCACTAACTTCAAGGCTGTAAAGGATTTACTGCAGTTGAACCAAAAAGGACAATGTACCAAACCTTACAATATTTGTGGTGTAAGTATCTTGGCATGAGCTGACCCCTTCAGCACACTGATTTCTTTACGACATCCTAAAGTTGTCATCTTTAGGATTCTGTGACTTCCATATAAAGCTCTCAATGTCCTACAGATGTATTCTGCCTGTTAAGATGCCCACCTGCAGATGTCTTAATGATGTCTAATATAGGACGATTTTCAGATACCTTAAGAATGTTTTAGGATGACATTAGGACAAAAAAGGACCAGGTTAGGAAAAATTTTGTGAACTTGCAGGATATATTTTGAAATGTGTATGATAGTAATAGGAGGCTCTATCATGTTGGATATCAATGCAATTTTAATATTAATGGTAATAGGATTTAATAATGAATTTTCTTTTGTTATTTCATTTAATGCACTAGAGAGTCATTGAAAATGCTTTTTAAATTTAAAAAAAAAAATCTTAAAGCTTATAATTCATTAACATGATTACACCTTCATTTGTGTTCTTAATTTTCATAGAAAAATCAGTAATGCAGAAAGAATATAGAAGGTAAACTTATTTCACTTTCATTACGCATACAAATGGTAAAATAAAACTTTTTTTTACAGGATAAAATGAAATTTTTATTAAATCTTAATCAGAATACTTATAAGCTGAATTAAATTTTACACTTTTATTGATAGTATGGAATAAAATCATTTTGCTGTCATTAAAAATCCTATCTGAATATACCTTTCGAACACCAGGCAAGGTTAAAAGGTATTGAAAAGTCTCAAACCTAGAAAAAGCTTGTCTAATTAAATTTCATTGATGTAACTAATTTTTTCCTGTAATTTTTTGAAAATCTTAGTTGATCTAAGATTATATTTTAATCTTTCTTATATCAATTAATGCAGTTTAATGATAATTTTAAAAAAATATATAATCAAATAATTATTTATTTTTTATAATGCTTTGCTCAATCCAGAAAGCTTTCGTCAATATTTACACTTATTGAATTAATTTGTATTATTTATTAAGACTATTTATTCAACAAATTAATTTCCACTGTTTGAAAAACCTTTATCTAAAATTTACTGAGATATATTTCATTAACTACATTTAAAAAATTTGGTTTTGAAAATAATTGCCCTTTAAATAATTGATATCTACATCACTTTTATTTTGATTTATTAATTCTATTTAGCAAAACATGCTGCAAAATCATAAATAAGGAAATTTTTTCATTTCCTTTTTTGGAAATTTAAGGATACATACACATGATGTGATAACTTGAAAAGCCATGTGCAGTGTTGGGTTTTTACCAGGACTTGGTATTAACTAGATTTTTTCTGGGAAGAACCTGGTAAATGCTATTAGCCCATAATTATCTATTTATAGATATATTAGTTTATTATTTATAACTGAGGACTGTATATTATTTCCATACTATAGCTAATATTAAGAAATATTAGATAATTCATGTTTAATATATATGTGTGTATAAGCAAGTAACAAACCATTGGAAAAGTGATATGATGTAATCCATCTCATAAATTGTAATTGTAAAACTGAATTTTCTAATTTGAAACTGACTAATTCATTAAATTTTCAATATGAGCTGATAACCATTAATTATATACCATAACTTTATTACAGATGCTTTTATATATGGAGAATAACCAGAAGGCTCAAATAATCAAATTTCAAAATTTTATAAAAAAGAAATAATATTAATATTTTTTTCTTTTTTTACTAAATGGAGCATTAAAAAATGTACATTATTGATAAAGATATTATGAAATAAGGATTTTTCTTAAAAAAAAATTTTTCCACTTATTTTCATGACATTAGATTGTAAAAAAAAAAAAAATTATTTTGCATACTTCACTTTATATGAGCACTTCTGAGATCAAAATAATCATTTGTTCAAAAATTTAAAGTGCAAAAAAGAGTTTTTTATGTATGAAGATTAAAAAAATCAGAGGAACAACAAAAATGAATATCAATGGTCTATACATTAGAAATCTGGATAAAAAGTATTATCAATTTATAAGACCACTGGCAATATTTCAATACACATATGTTTCATTTTGGCCAAAAATAAGATAAATTTATATATGATAAACATTAAAAAATTATCTATAGCAAAAACAGGCCTCATGCATTACTTGACATTTTGATTTTGTTAAAATTTGCAGGATATGTTCTTTATGTAAAACTGTGAACAAAAATTTAAAACTATTAATAACCATAAAACGGTTATAAAACTATACACTAGTGTTTGTTTTGTTTTTTTCATTTTACAAACAAAAAATTTTTTCTCAAGGTTTTGGAGATCAAGCTTGAGATCCTCTGGAATTTTGAGAAAAACACATCTACTTACATGCCGTAATATTTTTTTGTGAATTGACTGAAATACGTCACGGACCATTATTTTGTGTTCTTCTACTTTCACACTAACTGTTAAGACATATATACTTACAGTGTACCGTAGCATCTATGGTTAAATATCCTTCAAAAATCTTAAAAATAAAGCCATTTTCTTAAACCTTGAAAATCTTCCTGTGCCATCAATTAACTATAAAGGTGTATATTTCTGTAATGAATACGAAAGAGTAGTACCTAAGACAATCAACACGAGCATATTGTACATATGATATAACCTTAACATAGCAAACTGAAACTTTGCACAACTTTCAAGCCCATTAAACTGCCTTCACCAAAATTATACATTAGAACTAGACAAATATGAAATTTCCTGGAGAAGGTATCTCAAGTATATCAGAAATAAAATCGATTCACAGATATATGGTTACTGATTCAACTGTTAAATAATTTAGCTCTAAACTTAGAGGAACAAACTTAGAGGCACCTGAGTAATGAAATACCGAAGCAGTTATGAGACAGCTATAAGTTGTTCTTTTAAGAAAAAAATATTATTTTTGCCCAATATGAATGTCTGAAGTTAAAACTTACCCCTGAGGTGAGCTTTAGCCTCTAACTAGAATTTTTTGATGGGTGAGGCAAGCTAGGCAAAAAATATTCATTGCTATCCAGGCTAGTGAAAAAGTGTTTCTGGTATAATTTTTTATGCTGATAGAAGGAAATTTCACCCTATTCAATAAATCTAATAGTCACAAAGTTTTATATAGAAACAACAAATTCTGACTTATACATATTTGTGTGTTTGATTTAGCTATACAGGCAAGTGAGGTATTGATCCTAATGTATTTTTCTAAGCAATAGATTTAGAACACTTAAGTACATAAACAATTTAAAAATTGCAACAGATTTGTGTGTAAAAAATAGTGTTATGTTCTTTTTTGCACTTACGTACTTAAAACTTTCTGTAAGAATATTTTAAACTAAAGGACAAGATAATGTTTTCTACAACAGTATATTATGTTTTAAATGTTTACAAAGTCTATAAATATCAAATACTACTTTTCAGGGGTGTTAACTTCAGAACAATAAAGTAAAAGTAAATTGAAATTTTGAATATAATTTTAATTAAACATAATTTGAATGCCTGTGTGCATTTTCTAAGTGAAAAAAAAAACAACAAAGGTAAATATATGTGTTTTATATGAGTCAGCCTTATTTACTTTTGTAAACTTTGTTAGCAAAGATGATTTTATCCAAGCCAGCCTTTAAATTTCTATGATCTGCTTGCAAAACTTGAGTCTTTTTATTTTCTGCATTAAAAGTATACCTTTTTTAATAAATGAAAATTAAAGTATTATTTCTTAAATTCTTTTTTAAAAAATTTTCTTGACGCTTAAAATGTTTTCTTCATTTTAGAGGAAATAGAATTTGAAGTTAAGACATTTTATGAAGAAACTGAAGTTGAATTCTGTGAATTGAGTCCTGAAATGATCAGAACTTATGTTGAGACTAATGAACCTCTGTAAGTTACTTTATGTTATCAGAATTGTCAATTTTATGGTTTTCCCAGAAAATAATTCAAAAATATTTGATGTGGTAATGAAATTATAAGACACGTAGGATATATAATTTTTAATTATATCATTAAAGCAGTGGTTAAAATAATTTGAATAACAATTTATTAGATTAAGAAATAGATATATTTTGCTACCACTTTTAAAGTGTGCACTTATGGGAAAGTTTGTCCAGATTGCCATTTTTTCCTTCTTATTATGTTACTTTTTTATTTTACTGTGAATAAAAAAACATGATTTTTTTTCAATTTTTTTGATAATGTAATGAATGTTTTGAACATTATTCACACATGAGTAGTGTACTGTTTTAGTGGCAGGGCTGGCTTTTGCCAGAGTATAGTCAGTCCAAAATCAAGGAACTGCTTCAATGAAGTATAGAATTTTACTTTTCCCTCATTAAAAGAAAAAAAAAGTTAATGGTAAAAAAAAAAGAATAATTTTCCAATATTTTCTATCCTAAAGTTTTTTTATTAGAAATAGTGATCTTTATTTGTAAAAAAGTTCACTCTTTTTCTAACGGAAGGATTTTTCTCATTTTTCTACTCTATTGGAGACAAAAGCTAAGGTTCAGTCTATGTTGAAAATTTAAGTTCTGATAAAATTTTCTTCTCTTACTTTTTGGATTTTATTCTAAAAGGTTTGTGTTTTGTATTTTTCTTAATTGACATCTTCATAAGAATTTTTTTTTTTTTTTTTTTTTGCAGTAACTGGAAGTTTAACATTCCTCCACCTCCTAGGGAAAAAAATGTCAGTTTTCCATGAAAAAAAGGTCCCTTTATGTTTTATTTTCATTGATATTTCCTATAATTTCCAGTACAGTAAGAGAGAATTTACAGAGGAGGTACAGTAACATACCTCCTCTTTACAGTTGAAGCATTTTATGAGAATGTTGTGAGTTGATTTTAAATTTCGTTTTCAATATTGTTGGTTTTTTCCAATTTGAAATATATCATCATCTTTACAATTTCTAGTTAAAGGGTAGTCAACATGTAAAATACTCATAGTAAATACAGTGGAAAGTCACGCATCCGGAATCGGTGGGACTTCTGGACGTCCGTATAATAGATTTTTCTGTATAATAGACCCCCAGGTAAACAAGATTTAAAATGATCTAATAAACGATCTGAATCTAAAAAGCAAAAAATAAAAATTATTTTTCGAGCAATAATGTTTTAGTATTAGAATTATATCTAATTAGTCCAAAATTAAATATTAGAAAAAAATTATTGCTTAAAATCTAGAAAACGAAAAAAATTTGACAAAAACTTGAACAATTCAAGCAAGAAGCAGAAATTCCTGTCATTCATTAAGGTGGGTAGGTGGCAGAGAAAAGCTCATCTCCTCTTTATTTGTGAGAGAAAATATGCGTAAAGAGATCGTTCAAGTTGACGGCAGGAAGTGACAAATTCTTATTTTCTCTCTGATTATTGGCTATCAGTCAAGCATAAAGGCATGGCATGCCGATCGGGCTCTCTTTATTTTTTCTTGTGTGACTGAAAGAATCTGCTAAAGAAGGAATATTACCCCCTTTTCCCCCCTCCTAAGTATTACATGGTCATGGGAAGGACGTATATCCTTTTAGACCTATTCAAATTTTCCATTTTGACTCCCCCTCTACGTTAATGTTTGCCGTGTTTACCCTTTTCTCCACAGTATTTCTTTTTTCCCTAATACTCTAATTAAAAGGTTCCAAGAAATGCCTCTTTTACTAGCGAGCTGCATATGAAAGAAGGGGGGAGGGGACTCTAGTTGTTCTCTTTTGAAAAGAAATCTCCCTCTTTTCCTGCATTCCAGAGGGGGAGCGTCACTAACGGTCACTCGAGGGTCTTGGTAGGTCTTCTCTTCCCCTTTCTGGTGATTTATGGGTTCAATGCATAAATCACTAGAAGCTAGAAAAAGAGAAAACACGTTAAAAGACCTTTTTTTTTTAAGAGAAGGAAAGATGAAGACATATTTGTTTATTTTGATTGTTAAAAAATGTCCGGGAAATCTACCCTTTTGGAAAAGGGACGTCCGGATATGAGACTTTACTCTGTATTATAATAAATGTAAGTATAAGTTATTATTCATACTTACATTTTTTCTAGCGTAAAAGACTTACAAAACTCATACATTCTCTGTTTTAGATATATATACACTACCTCTTTTTAATAAATTGTGCCAGGAGAAAAAATCATGTTCAAAATTTCTTCCTAATTTTGGCAAAATGCACCTATGGTTTTTCTGAAATGAAAAATATTTTTATACTTGATTGTAAATGCAATAAAAAATACATGAGTTTTGTGTAAGAATTAATTTTAAAAAATGCAGGAAAAATGATTTTAAATTAAGTCACAGCACAAAAAGGCAATGATTTTTTTTCAGAAATTTTTAGGAAAAATAAAGTGTCAAAAAAATTTTTTTTGCTTTAACTTCTTCAAGATTGTGATCTCATATATGTGATTGCGCGATTTTCTCTTCATAGCCCCCTGTATCGTATATTAAACTAGCTTTTCTGACTCCAGTGGCCTAAGATCACATGGGCATGATCTAAATACAGTACTCTTGTATTAAATAGTACTCTTCAGTACATATACTACTCAAATTTTGGGAGGTGCTTCTTTCTGCCGGCCTTGAAGGGATTAATAATAAATCATGGAAAAAGTTGTTTGTAAAAGAAAAAAAAGTCCCTTTAGAATCACTATGTAAAACTGACAAACTAATTGGTGATAGAATGTTCACTTTAAAAATTAATATTTATTTAAATGTAATATGATAATTTTTTAAAAATTAAATTACACAAGGATTAATTAGAATTTATATAGCTTGTTTTTTTAACTTAAATTCTCCTATCATATTGTGTAACTCAATTGTAGAAAATCAAACACTGTAACTTTCTATTAAAATTCCGAAAAAGAATTTTAACAAATGTTGTTGTCATAGGCCATTAAGGCAAGAGTTGCAATTGTTCTCGTTTTTCAGTGGCACCATCTATGGCCAAGAATTTAATTTCTGCCACACCCAAACGTCACACCCGTTTATAGGGCGGACCAATTTATACACTGATTTATTCATCCACAGATTGTAATTTTGACCTAAACTGGAGATCAATCTTCAATTCAGTACACCCAGAGGTGTAATTTGTTATGGAAACACGGAGGACTTTGTGACCCAACAGATTTAACGTGCACCAGTCACCATTTACCACACGGGGAGTCTTCAGCTGGCTGGCCCTACCATCCCATCCCGTCCATTTTTAACAAATAGAAAAGCAATATTAATTATTTAGTTTTCTTTGCTCACCAATAATTGTCTTTCGTTTAATTTTCAGAGATAAAGCAGGTGGATATGCAATTCAAGGTGTTGGAGGAACATTTGTTCAGAGTATTCATGGAGATTACTTTAATGTAGTCGGATTTCCATTACATAAATTCTGTTGTGAAATTTATAAGTTATGTTCTGAAAATTTATTGTAAATCCCACTCATAAAGCAATTGAAAGAATTTATTTTTAGATAAATAAAATTTGTACAGCCCTATTACATTTCATTTATTATTTCATTATTATTTCTTTATTTCATTGACTTATTCATGACTGTAACTAAATTTTAAAATAAAGTGTTTAACTGTTATGTTAAGCTAAACAATTTGATTACAAATTGTTCTATATTCTGTTGCATGTCTATACAAAAGTTGTTCAGAATTAAAGGTTACTCAGGTTCAGTGGTTCCCAACCAGGGAGAAATCTTCCAAGGAGGAATTTCATAATCTTAATTTGGGAATGGGATCAGTCTGATTATATTTGATTGCTAATTCAGATCCATCTGTATCTTCAAAATAAGAATTTAAGGTATGCTTTCTTAAATGGACAATAACAGTTAAAAAAATTTAAGTAATAATGCATTCAGAATTTTAAAAAATAACTTTCGTTTTCAGCTATAATGGGAAATGATACTAACTGATGTCACTCATGCTCAGCTGCCGTTTGCACAAAAAGCCATTGTGTTCTTGCTTTTGTTTGAATTTTCGTAATCAAATCCAACTATTTTGAATTACAAATAAATAACAAAATAAATATCATAACAAAAATATGTACAATGTTAATTATGCCTCTATGTAGCTTACTGTAAATAGTATGATATAATCAATTTTATTAAATTATTCAATTTCAGGTATACCCATTGAACTGTTGTTAATAGTTGACAAAATTTTTATGCTCTGAATATTTATGATTTTTTTCGTTAAATAAAAAAGGTGTAAGGATGAGTTATGGGTACCTGGTATTACTTATTCATATGATGCTTTATAAATTAAAATAATTTTAATCTTTAAATTTTTTAACCATGTTAGATGCATTTCAAAATATAATTCAGCTATTTTTTTAGATTTATTTTTATGTTATAAATTCCCAAATTTAAGCGAAAGAAATGTTTAATTTTTTTTAAAAAAAAAAACGTTTTATATTTGTAAAAAACTAATGTTATTGGATTTTTTCCAGCTTTAATTTAATGCTGTGAATTATTTACAGCAGGGGTCCCCAACCCTATGCCCGCGGGCACCATGGCGCCCGTCGATCGGTCTAGATGCGCCCGCTGCTTGTGCCCAACGATAAAATATTTCAGTATGCTATTTTCCCATAAAATGCTATGCAATTTTTTTTCTTCCTTTTCCAATATCAATGATAAACACAACCAAAATAGAAATCGCAAGGAAAACGACCTCCATCCCCGCAGATATAATGATAGATTTATACATTTAATTAAAGAAATAAAAAATTATCTTGCTGCCAAAAATCAAATATTTTTAGCACTTAGAAATCCTCCTTCGCTAGCAGATTTGTCTTTTGCTATAGACATAATGAAAAAATTAAATCATTTAAATTTGGAGCGGCAGGGAAGGACAAACATATAGCAAGAATGATAAGGGCTATAAACTCGTTGAGAGCTAAACTAGTTTCGTGGGTATCACATTTGAGAATGAAATCTCTTGTGCATTTTCCAAACATGAAGAAAGTTATAGACGACAGTTAAATTAACTTATCAACATTTGTCATCAACCTCCAATTGCTTCAAGATCAATTTGAAAAGCGCTTTCAACAATTTAATATCAAGCCCAGGGTTCGTTGATTTAAATCAAATGATTTATTTAAAAAAATCATTGATTTAAATCAACTAATTTTTTTATCTACATATATTGATTTTAAAAGTTAAAAAACAGTGCTTTAAATTTTTGATACTTTTATTATTTTCTTTTCTTAGTATTAAAATTTAATTTAAATAAATTGCTGCATTAATTAATTTTAGTTAACGAAATTACTTTCTTGCTGTGTGTTAAATTCCAGCACATTTGAAATTACATTTTTAAAAATCTTTTGATTCTTGAGATTGAAAGTACATTTAATGCTGTCTCAATATAGACTTGCATAGCTTTAGAAAGTAATTAATAAATTTCAAAAGTAATTATTTTCAAAAAATGAAACAAATAATGTTAATTAAAATTCTACCTTTTGAATGATAAATCGTAAATTAAAATCTACATCATATTTTATTGGTGGAAAATGTATATTTCTGAAGCTTGAGGTTATATTAAAAAGAAATTACCCTTATATGCCAAAAGCAGAAAAAGAAAAAAAAAGGGCTGATGAATTCAGATGTTTTTTTTTCCTAATATAGTGTCATTCTTCCCTTTTAAACTCTTTAGAAGTCTATTTGATGCAGTAGGGTTATTAACTGGTATTTTTTTCTCATAATATATTTACAGTATCTTTGACATTATCTGATTTTCTATAAAGAAATTTTGTGAAAAAAAATTCCAATGAATACATAGATTTTCTAATTTTTTTTTAGCTTAACTTATCTATTTTGATATAGAATTAAAAATGAATATTTTAATATAAAAATATATAGATTAAATATTTATTTATTTTTTGATGAATGACTACATTTATAAACACAGTCTGCTACATTTATTTTGTCATTTTAAAAATCAAGAGAAAAAAAAAAAAAATCACAATTTTAAATTAAAGTTATGGTTTGCTAACTGAAACTTTGTTTTAATAGTTAAAGTACAGGGGTCTGTCCAAGCCAAATTTACTACCGTTTAACGGTACCTTTACAAATTCAACTTTAGGAAAAATGATAGAATAATCACACAAAATACTTTTTCTTAAAATTTTATTTTTGTGTCTCGTAAGAAACGATAAATCCATATTTTTACTATATTTGTGTTGATTTTTTAATATAATTTTTAATTTTCACAAAATAGGTACCTCTCAGAAAAACCCAGACAGACCCCTGAAGTATTCTTTAAATTCTCTATTTCATCTAGTCTTTAAATTTTAATCATGCATTTGTTTCAAAATGGTTGCTATGCATTCAAAGCCATGTATTATTATGAAAAATTATTTTAGTAAGAGCTTCTAAAACATTGTTACAATATAGTTTTAATATTAAGTTAATTTGATTAAGCATTTATAATTTTTTTTAATCATAAATTAAAGTTCTTACAGTATATTTGAATAAAAATCAAAAAAATCTGATTTAAATCAAAAAAATCGGATTCTTTTGATTTTTTTTAAAAAAAATCAAAAAAATCACGAACCCTGATCGAGCCTATGATCACCTTTTTTGTAAATCCTTTTACCAACCAAATAAACGCAACCCAAATAGCAACATACATTTCAAAATTTCTTCAAGTAAGGCGAGAAGAAGTGGAGATATAAATTTTGGATCTTCAGCATGACATTATCCTCAAAACTATTATATTTGAATCTGAAAAATGAGAAATTCTGGAATACAGAAATAAGTTTCCATTCTTAAAAAGAGCAGCATATAAAATAAAGTAGTTTTTTGGTTGCGCATATCATTGTGAATCATTGTTGCATTGTGAATCATTGCTTTCGACAATGAATATCATAATATCAAAATATAGATTACGACTTACAGATGAACACCTTGACAATTCTTTGCTAGCAGGAATTTCATCATAGTCTTCCAATTCTGAAGTGCTAGCCAGTGAATGCAATGCCAAAGATCACTTTGACTGTATTTTATATAATTTAAAATAATTATTATATTTCGTATGTTTTGCAAGTAATTTAATCATTTATTTTACACAAGAATATTAATACTAATTATTCATAAATTAAATTGATTTTTAAAATTAAATTTTTTGTGCATTACATGTATTGTGTATTATTACCTCTGTCTACCAACTATAAATTTATCTTGAAAAAATAAAGGGTGCCCGCCATTCGACCGATATTCTGGTATTTGCTCTTAGGTACAAAAAGGTTGGGGACCCCTGATTTACAGTATAACAACTCTTTTAAAAAGTTGATATTTCAAAAAAACTTTTAATTCATTCTTTAAAAAAGATCAGGTAGATAATTCAATAAGGATTTCACTAATGTCAAATTACATTCAACGTTATAAATTCAGCATTGAAATCGAGTATATACATTTATTTAACTCTTACTATAATAAATGTTTCTGTGGTAAGTAATTCAGGAAAACCAGTTTACTTATGAATATACTTTTGTAAAGCCGACAGGGTACCAGTAAATTTTGCACTGGTATTCATTTTTTTATTAAAAATGTGTTTTAAGTTCTTTTTATTTTAAAAAGGATTTCTTTCAAACTTTTAAAATAATTTGCTATTTGAATAAATATATTAAATCAGCAGAATTTTGTTAATTCCATATTACTAAAACAAGAATTTAATAAATACATGTAAAAATATTTTTTGCCTTAGATAAATTCCTTTTTACTCAAAGAATAAAATTGTGGAGAATAGATATCAAAATTACTGTCTATTTAACTATCTAATAAATAATTTAAAAAATGCATTAGAAATTATTATCATTTTGCCTGTTGGTTTACACACAGATATATATATATATATATATATATTTGGATTGTAATTTTTACAG